CCGGTCCGCGGACCGGGGGTTGGGGACCACTGGTCTAGTAGATACCCATTCTCACAATTGCCAATTATGGCACTGGTCAACATAACGCTTTTAGTAAGAAAGAGTGTAGTCTAATCCTAACTCATCACATGCAGCATGCCTGACTCACAATAAAGAAAATATCAGTCACTTCTGACATACTTCGGTTTATAATGTGGAACTAAAGACCAGTTTTTAAGTTCACTCATGCTCTTCTATGAAATATAGGATCTCTAATCCAGATTGTAAATCAACACAAAGCTGCCCACATCCCACAAAGTAGGTGATACATGCAATGTACCAAAATATATTCAGAATGTCTCTTTTTGACTGTGTGTGTGTGTGTGTGTGTATGTTCATCTGTGTAAGCAATATATGTTCATAAGAAGGTCAACTATTTAATACAGATATATTAAGGATACTAAGGGGGAAAATAATCCTGGTGTTTTTGTGACAGTAATCTATGGGTAAAAAATCACAAACATAAACACTAAACGTACCACAATGTCAGAACTTCTCTTCACAATTTATTTTCAATTACAAAGGTTGTTGCATACATTGATGAGTTTGTATGTGAATAGAAATGCTTGGGCTCAAGGATGACAGGAAAAAAACCAAACCAATATTTTAATTGTGTCTTTGTTTTTAAAAAAAGGAAAAAATACACAACATTAAACATTATAAAAGTTGCAAACAGATCATGCTTTGAACAGGATATTTTTTTTTCTAAACAGAGACAAGACCTTCAATACATATCTCTGAGCTCCAGCTGGAAATGGACCACAGAACATTAACAGCATTACAAACATCATCTGGTAGAGGAAGGTCACAATAATTTTTAATGTACTATTTTACCTTTCAAAAACTTTGCGTGTTTGCATATACTACATTGCTCCCCAATCTTAAACAGGTTTACAGAGGCATCCCATAATACAGTGAAACCTACTTCCAAGTAAGAATGCCTAAGACTGCAGCCTTAATTTTCAGTATATTTTAGAAAGGACAACTTAATTTGTAGAATATACTACAGTAACCAATGCTAAATGTGGTATTCTTTTGCATCGGTGAACAGTACTGCAGCAGTAGAAATTTCCATTATTTTTAGAAGCTAGAAATGATTTTTTAAAAACGTTTTTGAAGTTAGAAATAATTTCAGTCTTTCCATATTGAAACTTTCATGGCTAGCACAAATGTTTGAATCCGAGCTTAAGGCAGATCCAATGAAATCAACGGGAAATCAAAATAATGTACTTTTAACTCTTAAGCAATAGATATTTAACATCTTTTATAATCATGTTTAAAAGAAATATATTTTTGTTTAATACACAAAAAATACCAACAGTACCTGACCGTACTAGATTAGAAGCTTGATACCAAGAAACAATTCAAAACATTGTGATGATCGAGATGATCTTTATAGCACTGGAGTTAGTTCCTGATAAAATGGTAGATTAGAAGATCAGTTGACTTAAATATAACATACTTAGATTTAATTTAGGGTCAAACTTTCTATTTTAGAAAAAGTTAAGGCTACAGCCCTATATGCAATAGTGTAGTAAATTCCATGTAAAATGGGATATTTAAAGCATGTTTGCTTAGGATTAGGGAGTGACCAGTATATTCTTATGGAAGTTCCTAACATCTTAAGAGGCTAAGCATTTCACTGCATGAACACTCGTATCACCCAAAATAATGGAGGAAAATTAAACAGTAAATACCTCTGAGATCCAATCAAGTTAGAATGCTTTGAAGGAAGTATATGCTAAAGTGCCATTTGTCAAAGCATTCAGTTTACTCTGGAAATAACCTAAGTATTATTGTGTAATGCCCTTACATGTCATGATTTATTAAAGAAATTGGATTAGTAATTGACTGAAATATAATTTGCTCAATCCTTCAGATAAAAACAAAAGAAAAAGCTGAAGACACTGCATTTTAGTGCAGTTTTCAGTTATACAAAATAGAACTTTCCATCTGATAGCAGACTTAAAATACATGATTTTACACCTAAAGCCTTACTTAAAAAAAACAAAAAACAACTTGAGTAGACAGGAGTGAAATTCAGGCCTCAAAGCCTAAAGGTTTGTACAATGTCTTTGTGACTGCGCCTCAACAGAATTCAACAGGAAGACTGCTAAATATCAAGGAACCGACTGGCTGCTATTTGTGCTGAAGGCAACTTGTAAGAAAACCCATGAAAAACAAGTAGGAGAATATTAATGCTTTAAAACTAGTCATATTTATAAGACTTACGTAAGAGAAACCATACATCAGTTATTGACATTTGTGAATAAACAAGCAGATTTATTAACAAAGGCAAACATCAGAAAAGTGGTACAGACTTAAGTGAAACTCACACTGACAGTACGGTATTTGAGAAATGTCTGTTGCTTTTAAGTTTAAGAGACCTTTAATCTATTATAGAAGTTTTTGCTCTTTCTCCAGTACATTTCAACTTAAATTTAAAAATAAATTACCAGACTACTGAAGTATGTATATCTTTGCCCAAGTCCTACAACAGTTTCACTGTTTGCACTGATGCCACAGTAGCATGAAAGAACTAGTTCTCAATTAGTCCAAAGACTAGTACTGAGCCCCAGAAAATTAAATACCAAGATTTACTCAATAAAAGAGACAGAGAAGCTGTTGTTAAGAGATATAGTGGAATTATTATAAAAACCCTATTTTCCAAGACCACTAAAAATTGGTCACTCTATGCCAGTACAAACTATTAATATAATTTTAAATCAGATCTATTTGAAGTTCCTTTATTATATTTTAATTGTTGTTTGCTTCTAAAAGGGTTTAAGGAATCCTGGGGAATGAAAAATAAACTTGGTTCTAATATACAAGTAAGGCACAATATAAAGCCACATCATAATCTGTCAATGGAGTAAGTGGATAAAGGACAAGAACCATACATGGTACAGAGCAAGTAGTTCATCATAGCCATTCAAAAAATAGAAGTGTGGCACTCAGTTTCAGACTGACAATTTTTTAGCAAGAGCATGCTTTCAATGGAAATGAACTGTAAAATATCCAGTGTATGAAAGAGAATTTAGGGCCTTTTTAAAAAAATGGATAACTGCTTTTGAGGGACATTAGAATATCCACAACATCTATGCTTAGAAAATGACCAAAGACTTCAATAAGATCCACATTCCATGTATGAAGTTTGAAAACCTTTAGAACTCTTCTAAAGATAATCAGCCAAAAATGCATGCCACATTTTCCCCAAACAAAACATGAATATTTGGGTTTTAAAAATCTTTGTGATAATTATACACTAAACGTATATTTAATGACACTAGAGGAAGCAGATTGTTACTGGCATTAAAAGTACAACCATTTCTAGACTGTTTTAAATGCCACAGAGTCTCCTGGTTAAAATGTAAAGTTGCACAGCTTGCCTATGTCATCTTTACAATAAGATTAAACCAGCAAAGGTCTTAACTTTACTCTACATTTTACTGCCAGGTTTTATTTAGATCAAGTATCGCTGCAGCATCCTGACCAGCCCAGAGTTAGCAGCAAATGGCAGGAATCATATAAAATGCAATATCTTTTTTTCTTTTTTTAAACAAAGTGCTTTTCTAAGATATACATACATATATAAATAGATACAAAATAAAGTGTCACCATTAAAAAGCTCAACTATTTAAAAGCTTTTTGACTATAACTTAATACATAGAAAACACTGAAATGCAAGGGCATGGAATCCACTAAAAAGGGTCAAAGTCTCTTTTCATTACTAGAACAAAATCATACCACTTTTCAGACATGCACGCACGCATACACACGCCCACACACATACAAGCTGCAAAAGCAGTATTAGCTCAGAAAAGACTGAGCTTCAAAGGGGTATCATATCTTACTGTCAGTATAATCTTGCTAAATAAATCCTGATTAGAAAATAGCTGTATTTTATTGTAGAATATATCTTTTTCATGCTATTCTGATTCAGAATTAGAATCTTAGCATGAACGGTATTTAAATGCCATTTACCAATGAAACTCAACACTATTCCAGTATATCACGGTAGATGGATATAAAATACTCAGAAGACAAAAGCTCCACACAAGTGTTAAGTCAGGCACATTACTGAGCTGCCAATGTTGTTTTGGCTGCAGTTTATCTTAAAAATCCTCCTGCTCCATCAGGGCATGCAAATTTCTAGTGACGTCTTACAAATACTTCAGATGTCTTTTTAAACAAAGTAAATGGCAATAAACAGTGATTTGAGAGACATTAAAAAGGAAAAAGCTGTAGGATGGTAGAACTCTGTAGTGGTATATTGGCATTTTCCAATCTTTCAAACTTAAAAAAAATGAGTGTTAGGTTCCATTTAGGAATAATCCATTGAGATGCAACAACTGCATTACAAAATGTATGTAAAGAATTGGGGGTGGGTGGGGGGGAGAGGGAAATCCATGAGCTTTTTGCATTTTCTTGGAGCTACATCTAAATTATTTGGTATTTTAGTAAACAGTGTTACGTAGTCATCTATATCAAAAAAGGGGGAGGAAAGGCAATCATGAAACCATATAATGATTCTGTCTTAACATAAATAACTCTCTCCTTAAGAGATAAAGCTTTTCATTGGTACTTTAACACTGACTAAAAGCAAACTCTTGTGAGGCAAACTGCACACACATTTGTATTCCCCCAATCATAGAAACTATGAGTTAACAATAAGTCACATATAAGTTTGAAGAAGCTAGTTCAAATATCTGTACAAAAATATAAAATCTAGAAATTCTTTTCCCCCCCCCGCCTGTGTTGATTCTTGGAAACATCACATGCACAATAATACAATTGGAAAAGTGGCAACTAAGGAATTAAATATTTGTAGCTTTTTTTTTTTTTACATATATACATATTACAATAAAAATAATTTTATTTTGGTTGGTTGGAAGTATACTACAAGCTAAATTTTCTAATTCCCAAAGTTGAAATCTGTTTTATCAATAGCTTACTAAAATCCAAATATATTAAAATTTCTACGATAAGTGCAGAAAACAAAAAAAAGGATTTACAGTCTTCTAAATGGCCAATTTATCTACTATGAACAAACTAGAGGATCAGCAAAATAATAATGTATGAATGCTCTTTCTGTAGATAATTGGACCCAAAGAGAAAGAAATTCACAGTTCAGTAAGATCCCTAACCCTGACCTTTAAGTTATTTTTCTTTTTATACATTCAGTACAGTATCATGTAAGCTGTGCAAAACTTTACTTAAACTGGCAGTTTGCCATTTCAGTTGCATTTGTCTTTGGTACAAAAATAAACAATCGCATTAATGTGCAAGTATTTGTTTTCTTCCGGCCAAGTACCGAAAATTATTTTTCTAGAGCCATCTTTTATACAATACATAGACTCTGTGGCATATCTACATTTTCAACATATTCCTATATACATTCAAAAATTTGTAAGAGCTGGAACAAATACATTAAAACCCATGAGACCATCTATATATCTTCTCTCCCATAGGAGTTTCTTCATCCTACAAAATTTTTACTATTCCATATTTATTCTTCCCCTTCCCTCCCTCCCTATTCAATACAAGGCACAAAGAGTATACGTTATTTCTTACTTGCACAGACATTTAAATACCGTATCAAGCTCAGAAAATTATATGTTTTTTTATATGGCACACTAGCTTTATTGCTAAGTGTGCTATTTACAAGTTAGGTTACAAAGAAAACTTATTGTTTAATTTAAAAGAAAAAAAGCAACAATTTTTGAAAAAAAAATCATTGAGTTTACATTTTTTTAAACTTAAGAGCATAAACCTGCCAAAATGTTTGGCATTTTACTAATTTTTTTCTTTGCAAAAAACATTTTGCTTCTACATAAGTTATATAATCTGGTCCTAGATAAACTTAATTTTAAAATAAACATGTAGCCATTACATTTATGCCAGAAGCAGATTTAGATCTACAAGGTTTATGCTCCAAAATGCCATTAAGCATTTTATATCATGCTTTCACTTAACTTACTACATTGTTATAAAAAAAATAAAAAAAAATAATGGAACTTAAACTGTTTTATACAGCACTAAACTCACATGCAGACCAGAATTAATTCTACAATGTAGTAGTTCATGATGCAGGCAGAGCTCTGATCAGTGTGATGGGATAAAATTATGTCTGTTAAATTTTTGATGTTGGTATTCTCAGCCCAACAAGTCCTCCTGTAGGATCTCCTTCTGCTGTTTTTTCTAAAACCTGGTTCACAAATTCTGAAGTTTGTCCAGATACCGGCTGACCTAGAGAAATGAGTAAAAACACATCTTCAGAATATTACTAAGAATTTATGTGTCCCTTGTTCTTTATTCCTTACAAATTTAAGTTGTGCCAGTGTGTGTGTGTGTGTGTGTCTGTGTGTGTCTTATGATTCTAGCAGTGGCATGGGAGTCTGAATGGGGAACAACAGGCTTATCTGAACCCTAGCAAAACTGACTCATTTAGAGTTTGGTGCCTGCCAGTTCTAGGATTATGCCTTTGTAGCTTCATGCTTTGACCAGTTACATCCATTCCTGGATCATGCAGGGGGAGGCAATGCTCACGGTTACTCATGCCCTAATCACTTCCAGATTGGATTACTGTAATGAGCTGTACATGGGTGGGACTACTCTCGAAGAGCTTCAGAAGCTTCAGCTAGTGCAAAGTGCAGTAATGTAGGCAGTTATGTGTACTAAAACAAATGTTACATATCTGCTCTGTGAGCTGCATTGTTGCCAGTCTGCTTTCGTATCCAATTCAAGATGCTGTATTTTGATCTTTAAAACTCTTTATGACATGGGGGCAGGTTATTTGAGGGACTGTCTCTACCAATTACATCTGCTCATCCCATCAAATCTGGCAAGGCAGACATCCTGCAGGTTCTGTTACTCAGGGAACTATAACTGGCAGGCCTGAGCAGCCAAACCTTCTCTGCTATGGCTCCCTCCTTATGGAATGTTCTTCCCCCTGAAGTGATTCAGCTTCATCCTTCCTTTATTTTCTCGAAATCCCTCAAGACCTGGTTTTATCATCAGGTCTAGGGGGTCTCAAGGGGCCAGTGAGGTTTTGAAGTGTCCATTGCTAAGCGAATCTCTTGGGGTTTTTTTATGACTATGCTTGACATATTTATTGTTTTAATACTTTGTTTTGCTATATGCTACCCAGAATCCCCTTTTATGAGAAGTATGACCATATTAATTTCATATATTAGATAACTGTATTTTCAAAATTTAGAAATACTTAAAGTGAGAGCACTATTTTGATTTTTTACTGCTTATAAATAGTACTGAACAAATAGTACGTTCACTTACCAAGGGTGTCTTTAATAAGTACATCAAGCTTCTGACTCATATTTGTTACTCTCTCATCTTTAGGACTCTGCACTCTGTTCACAATTTCTTGTTTGATAGAATTGATCACAAACAGTAAGTTATCTGCAAAGAGATCAAGCAACAATATAAGTCCTCCTTACTGCAAGTTTTCTGAAAAGGAAGAATACATTTATTATGTAAAAGCAATTTTATACCATTCTTCCACCTGAAATTTCCATATTGATATAAAATAACTAATAAAAGTGCATTAATAATACAGAAAAAAAGTAAACTACAGATTGAAAGGTAGAAAAAAAACATTTAAAGAAAAAAAAATCTTTGTATGAAGCAAACAAACGGATGCCAGACAAGACTCTGGGGACATCCTAAACTACAATGCCCCCTTCTCCCTCATTTTCTCATCAAGCAATGTAGCAAACATTTCAGATTGTTAAACCTTTTTAATCTCTTTACAAATCACAATAACTTTACCGAATACCTTGTGAATTCCCATATAGACCACCTTTCAGATAATTATCATATTTCAAAACAGACAGTTTCATCAATCAGCATACTTGAAAGATTTAATAAGGTATCCTAATTTTGATAAATTTAAACCAGGTATGTGTAGTACTTTCAAATACAAGACAGTTGTTTTTTCCTCCTATAAAAGCTTACCATATTCAGTATTGAGTCCCCAAAGTTTAACTTTGTTGGCTTCATACTGAGCTTTCTTTTTCAGTCGGCAAGCCCTGTGATGTTGAGAAGGAAAAGAATTGAAGGTGAGATTTTGTTCCTGTTGTTCGGACCGTTCGTCACACAAATAATCAGAGGTTCAAAATATTAGATGTTACCAAGTAGTACACCCAGACTATAATTTCTGATTCCAGCTCTCATTTCTCCTTTCACTAACAAAATAATTCCTCTGCGATTATTTAATTATTAAACATATTTCTATCCCAATCAAGAGACTCCAAAGCATTTACATTTAGCAAATAATACAATTTAAAACAAATACAGTACAATCTTAAAAACCAATTATCATAAATAGGAATAAAAATGACATTAAAGCAAAAATGATACTATAACCCCCCCTCCCCCAAATTGGTAACATCTTACCATTCCAGAATTTTATAAGTTTCAGTAATAGTTAAAATGTAAATACACTATATTGCCAAAAGTATTCGCTCACCTGCCTTTACTCACATATGAACTTACTATAAGTGACATCCCATTCCTAATTATAGGGTTCAATATGACGTCGGTCCACCCTTTGCAGCTATAACAGCTTCACCTCTTCTGGGAAGGCTGTCCACAAGGTTTAGAAGTATGTTTATGGGAATTTTTGACCATTCTTCCAGAAGCGCATTTGTGAGGTCACACACTGATGTTGGATGAGTTTACGTGGCCTACCACTTCGTGGCTGAGTTTCTGTCGTTCCCAAACACTTCCAGATTCTTTTAATACAGCTGATAGTTTACTGGAATATTTAGGAGCGAGGAAATTTCACGACTGGATTTGTTGCACAGGTGTCATCTATCACAGTTCCACGCTGGAATTTACTGAGCTCCTGAGAGCGACCCATTCTTTCACAAATGTTTGTAAAAATAGTCTGCATGCCGAGGTACTTGATTTTATACACCTGTGGCCATGGAAGTGATTGGAACATCTGATTCTGATTATTTCGATGGGTGAGTGAATACTTTTGGGAATATAGTGTATGTTGGCTACACACAAGAGGCAATTATCATCAGAGACTCTTCCAATGTGTTATGAGAGGTGTGAGGCAAGAGAGTAAAGGAGAATTTTAATTAAGGAAGTAAGGAAGAATTTAATACCCTCAGTAACCATGAGTTGGGCTGCCATATAAATTTGTGAAATAAATAATAAACAACCTTTCAGATATGATTAAATTTAGCCAAGCCATCAGAAACAAATCTGTCACTTGCAGAATAACTTTTCCTTTTTCAATATAGCAATCTATAATGCTTGTCAATAGTAATATAATAATAAATTAACAGATTTGTATACTACCCAACATTTAACTTATATACTACCCAACTCTCGGTGGCTCACTATATATAGTGAGCCACATGCATGCATACACCCAAGCATACAAACACAAAACATAAACAGGGAACAAACAGAATTGCTAATGCTATATTTATTCAGGAAATTGTTACCTAGAGGCAAGTTTATTTTTTTCTTTCCTTGATCTTGGTCTTGCTGTTAAGGGAAGTTCACTGACAGGGGTCAAATCGCTAATTACTTTATTCAGTTTCCTAAGTTCATTTCCAATTTGTAGCAGTTTTTTAGGGTTAGGTGTCAGATCTTCTACATCAGTCCTTCGTGACTTTTTAACAGCATATTTTCCTGTTTAAATGTACACAATCATAATCAATAGGTTGCAAATTTTTATTCAAATTGAAGGTGCACATTTCAGTTACAATGCTTATTGTACATTGGTGTTTTTGCCAGTACTGTATCTCATATAATACAACTAAGAAGTCTATGTGGACTTTAAACAATCTACAAAACATGTTAGAAATAATACTAGGCAAAAACAAATAAATAAATACCATGCTGCAGGTGCATGATGTATAGTCAGAAAATCAGTAATACCTATTTTAGATTATTATGCATTTAATTTAAAGCATTTTTAATAAATGTTGATGTAACTAATGACAACTGCTCTCACCAATAACATAAACATATTATTTTCATTTCTTTCACCAAGTTTAATGTCTACAAATGCAGACTATTACAAGTAGTCCTTGACTTACAACTTTTCATTTAATGACTGTTCCAAGTTACAACAGCACTGAAAAAAGGGACTTATCACCCTTTTTCACACTTATAACTATTGCAGCATTCCCATGGTCACAATTCAGACACTTGGCAACTGGCTCATATTTATGACGGTTACTGTATCCTGGGGTTGCATGTTCTGATAAGCAAAATCAATGGGGAAGATAGATTCACTTTACTAATGTAACAAATGTGATGATACACTTAACAAGTGAGGCAAGAAACATTGTAAAATGGATAAAACTCACTTAACAATTGTCTCAGTTACCAACAGAAAGTTTGGGCTAGATTATAGTTGTAAGTTGAGGACTACCCATAATGCATTTCCTGGAAAGAGGAAGATGAAAACAAATTTTGCCAAAGTGTCACAAATGATACACAAAATAGGGAAGAAGTGTTTTTAAGTTGCAAAAGCAAATGTTTTATGACTCCTTCCTCCTACTCCTCCAATTACTTCAATAAATTAATGGAATGTGTGAATGAAAGTTGCATATTTTATTTAAAATAAAGTCACGGTGAAGAAATTTTAGAATATTACCAACATATATTCATGCACATTTCAATACCTTCAAATTGCAACACAATGTTAACCCAACACTTATTAAACATATTTGAAATTCCTATACACTTTATTTAAATGATACAGGAAATTCTGTAAACAGCAGCTCTTACCATGATGTAATCCGTTCTTCTGATACATGTTGCTTGGTAAGGTTTCTCGATTCCACTCAGAAGGCCTTAACATTCTCTCCTGCTGTGATGGCGTCAATTGTTCACTATATTCCCAGAAGTATCTCCGCTTGCCTCTTTTTCGACAAGATATTGCAGTCATTTCTTTCAAATCTTCTACAGAATCATTTTCAAAACCTAAAAATTTATAAAGTTGTACTTTTATAGAGCCTGTCCAGACCAAATGGACCAGAGTTAGGTAGAAGATAGTATATCAAAAGTAAGGGTAAAAAGGACTGGAATAAAGGGGAAATGAGACTTTAAATTTTGATAATTTCTGGCAGTGTTCAATTTTTTTCTCCCAATTGGTGACAGAGAATTTATCAGATGACTAATGGACAAAACTGGGCTGATGGAATAGGACTTTTCCAGAGTATCTCTAAACCATTTTGTTCTTAAGCAGAGCCTGGAAGTTCTTTACTGAATTGTCTCCTCAACTAATGGTCTCTTCAAATCAGCATTCTATCTCTTTGATTTTAGAAAGTCAAAGTATTCACAGATTCATTACAGATATACAGTGCACAGTCAGATACAGATAAAAGTATGCACTAGAGTTACAGAGTAATATTATATTACATTATATGCATATATATATATATTTTAGCTTATGTATTATGCTTTAAAGCAGTGGTCCCCAACCTTTCTGGCTCTAAGGACCAATTTTTCTGAAGATAAATTGTCTTCCATGGACCTGGGGGAGGGGGGGGGGGAATAGCTTCACACATGCAACCTAGACCCTTCGCATGTGCAGATGAAGCTTCACTCGCCTGCTCACCACTTGTTTACTATTCCAAATCATCCTAAATAGGCATTTTTTAAAATCTCATATTTAAATAGGCACTGGCTTCCCAGACCAGATATTATTTTTTCCCCACAGAAGTCATTTGTGCTTGTGTCTGTTTATGCTCATAGGAAATGAATGTTAGCTAGAATGTTAAATAGATACACCCATGATTTTTTTATATTAGGCTATGCAATGGAAAGAATAATAAATCACTTGATGGACAACAAGAAGCAGTGGTATTTATTGGAATGATCAACACTATTTCCGGAAAAACTTCTATATAGATCATACAGCATGGTCATCAAATTTTCATATCTCAACATTCCCAAAATGTAAAAAACTCTACACCTCTAAATGGATGCTTGACAGGCTGTTATATATATCATTGATGATTTACAGCTTATTTTAAAAGCAACCTACACTGCTCAGGGCCTCCCTCTTTGAGGGAGGTGGGCGGTTTAGAAATATGAAATATAAACAAACCTCATCAGTGTTGTATAAGACATTAAATTACAACACAACACTGCTGCAGTCTAGACTGTGTTTCCTTTGGTTACATTAAGCAAGAAGTTATTTGGCTGAAAACTCATTTTCAATTTGAGAATGTGTTTCAAGAACATCAAGCATCACGAAGAAGAGAGGTTTAATAGTTTGTATCTAAATCGCATGAGTTTAATTACCTGGTTCAGAAAATGTATCACTGATGTCATCATCCTTATCGTCCTCATAATCCTCCTCGTCATCGTTTTCAGATAGTTCGTGCTCACTTCCAAAGCCTTCATCGTGATCTTCATCTTCCACCTCTTCCTCATCATCTTCATCCTCATCAGGATCGGCTGTGCCTGCATGATCAGCTGAGCCATCACTGACAAAAAGAGAATAATTATGCTCTTCTTTTTTCTGTGAAGGATCTGACACCGAGGTGCTAGCAGAGAGGTTGCTCTTCTCAGCAATAAGTCCTGGAGCTTCCTGGGGTGGCGTGAGGAGCAGAGCCTGAGTCTCTTTGAAAGGCAATACAGGAGCACTGTGATTCTGAAGGGGGTCAATTCCTTTTTGCTCTTGTCTCTTTGCTACAACTCCACAGTAGCAGGTGTTTTCTTTTGCAGCATCAGCATTTGCCTGGCTCAGAGCGGACCTGTTCTGGTGCATTGGATTTATCTTCACTTTTGCCTTTTTAACATAATCCTTACATTCAATGTGAATATTCGCTTTCTCATTATTGTACATATTGGTCTTAACCATGATTTGTGTGCTTGAATTCGCCTTGCTTGCTTTGTGAGCAAACTCAGATAAAGGTGCTTCAGCCTGAGCAGTTTTTGATGAACAAACTGGGGTGGCTGCTCTTGTAATTTTCTTGGTTGGCAGAGACGTTAATTGGGTTTGTTTTGCATTGAACAGCAACTCTGAATAGCATAGTGGATCTGAGACAGGCTGAGAGTCCTCACTGTTGAGCTGAGCCAGAGTTGGAGTTTTACTTATTACCTCTTCATCTTGATACGGGCTTGAAAAATCATCAAGACCCAAATAGTCCACCTCTTTTGTTCCCCAAATGTCAGAGCTGGTTAATTTTGTATACTTTGTTAAATCTTCACAGTAAGTATCCCACTGATCCCAATTAGCAGGGAAAGACATTTCAGTATCCAGAATGTCAGTAAGAGTCTCTAAGTTCTCAAATTCTTTACAGTCCTCCACAGAAAGCAGATTGTCCCTGGAACTCTGTTGGCAATCCATTCCTCTGTCCTATTAAAGTAAATAGACAAAAGCATATCAATAACAGTTAATGCATTTTCTATCCAGAGTCTTACCCCATTAGCCAGCTAAGACTAAAATAAATTAATAATTAATATCAGGTGCACCTTGAAAGACATATTATAAAGCATGTTATTTAAATATTTGTTTTTATTTTTAAACAAACATAAACAAACAAGACATATAACATAAAAACATCTTCAATTACATACAGTCTGTCGATTGGTTACACAATCGACACACTGTATGGTTTTTGTGTGTCCTTTCCATAGTCATCAGCTTAAACTTTATCTAAAGTCACATATTATCAAATATATTTGTATACATTATTATTATAGTACTTCATTTTTTGATTATCACTATTGTTTCATTTTAAACAAGGCATTCTAAATATAAATTCATATATTATAATAATTCATTATATCATCTTCAATATATCCAATAATAAAGTATTTTTATATCCTATTCTAAGTCATTCTATTATTTTAGTATTGGTAACATTCTCTAATAATTTCCAATTCCATGTTTTCCCCCATTATTAATATCAATCTAATATATATGTATACAATTATTATAATTATTAAACATTCATTGACTATAGCTATTATTACATTCTTTTTATGTGAAGCATAACTAAATTTAAGGTAAATTTATATTATGATGTTTTATAACATCGTCCTAAAATCATTCAATGATATAACATCTTTATATTCTATTCTATATAAAATTGTTTATCTTTTATAAAAAGTTTTTCAACTTCATCTCCATAGTCCCACTTGCAATTTTATATAAAATTTCATATTATCAATCTAGCATATATAAATGCATTATTATCATTGTTAATCATTTATTTGACTATAACTATTATTACTTTTATCTTATACATAATACTCAAAGTTTAAGTTTAACTTGATTTTACTGTAACATTTCATTTCATCATCCTGTATCCTTCCAGTAGTAGTGCAGTCCAATATCTCTTGCCATTTGTAGAATCTGTATTCTAAGTGTTTTCTTGATAAGTCTTACATGGACTTCTCTTAGCAACTTGTTGTTCATTCCATATTTTATAGAGTTGAAACCCTCCATCTGTTCCTTCCATCATCTTGCCTTTGGTTATCACTGGTGCTTCTGCAAAAAGTACTCTCATTGTTTCTACTAAATTTCTTCATCTATATTTTGAAGTCTGGGATATAGTTTGAATTCATCGATCTCTCCTTTCAGTAATTTACATATATCATTTCCCTCCACTCTTGGTTTGATGTCAATGTCAACAATTTTCTTACCACTTTGTTCATATTTCTCTGCAGTTTTTTTGAACTCTGTCCTCAAATTTCATCATTGTTTTGTAAATATTCTCAACTCTTCCCTCCATTTTTTCTATTTTTTGTTCTATAATCTCAAATCTCTTTATCAATTCTCTCTGTGCTTATTAGAACTGTTTGAATTTCTAACATAATTATTTGCAATGTTAATTCCTTTTCTTCTTCATGTTGCACCATTTTTCCAGGTTGTAAGCACTGCCACTAAACCATCCAAGGCTTATTGTTAAATTTCAAACAAATTCACTATAATCTTTCAAGTCCAGGTTTTCTCTTTACTTCAGTCCAGCTACTGATAATACTCCAAAAGAGCACTTGTATAAACAAATCGTGCTCTTCCCACTGTTCCTTTCAGTAAACAAAGTCAAGGGCTTCGAGATATAAAATATAAATCAAATGTTCATAGGAATTAGTGTTTCCAAGCCTCCAGCCTCTAGGTGGCAGTGTTACTTCTTTTTCTCCTGCTTTTAGCCCTTTCTTTGTTCCAAGCTTGAGAGAAAATTTTTTTTAAAGGTAAAATCCACCTGAACGTTACAAAACGAAAGAGATTCTTGCTCCACAAATACAAAAAGTGAAGAAAAATAGAAGAAGAAGGAAGAAAGAGCCCAGTCCAATTTAAAAAGTAAAAGGCATTTGTAAGAATTCCATCCAAAAAAAGAAAACGAAGTTAAGGAAAAAAGATAACACTCTAATCCGCCGCTTACTCTCTTCTGTCTTCAATTTTAATTTTGCTCTAAATTTTTGGGGGTATTCTTTTCTCCAATAGTAAAATTTTTCTCACCAGTTTCAACACTCTCTCTCTCCTGCTCTGCTTCCGTTGCAGGGGGCTGTCCCAACGTGTGCAGCTTCAATGGCTGCTTCTCTTGTAGCCGGAAAAAAGAGCTTCTCCTGGATCAATCAGGGGCTTTGCGATGCCCCAGAGATCAGCAGGACGTGCCCTTCTCTATTACCATCTCTGCGGGATGGTTTAGGTCCAAAAGGACTGTCTAGCAGCAGAGATATTGACAGCAATCCTGGAGCTCCAAGATTGCATGTCGTGTTGTAGTGACATCAGCCCCGCCTCCCTCATTATATAAAGCATGTTAAAGCAGTACCTACAAGTTTGGAACTATGTGGTTTAGAAAAAAACTGAATAAAAGCATATATGATATAATTTAAAAATGTACACATGACAGAGGTAACAGATAAGGCTTTTGGTCTGATCCAAAGGAATCTTCTCATGATATTTTAGTATCTACCATATAAAAGTCTAATACACATACATACACTTACTCACTCACAGATACACATACATTTTATACCACCCCCATTATAATACAGCTCAAACACTTAAGAAATGTCAGAATTAGAACAGTTTTTACAGAAGTATAAAAATCAAGTTATATGATATACATATACATAGGATTTCAAAGGGTAGCGTCACCTAAATTTCTTTAGGAACAAGAAATATGCTTCATGCAATAAAAGACTAATGAATGCAGCTTACCAATTCATACATGAAATCTGGGTCAGAATTATTAGCCAAGAGATCTGTGCTGATCAGTCTCTGTTCCGAAAACATGTGGCTTTGAAAGGCATCTCCAAATGGAGGATCCATTCCACTCACACTGGGCTATAATAAATTCATATTAGTTTGGAACTTAAAACACATCTATTTTATTATAAAACAAAACAAAAATATCAACCCTTCAAACACCCTATATTTTATGTTTTTTTTCATTCCTACAATGCATTAAAAATAAATATTTGAACTTAACAACCTTTTAGTATTTTTTACATATATGGTATGATGATTCTGGCTGACTTCATGAGATGTGCTAAGCCAATTTGGTTTAGCATTTTTCTGAATCTATCATTATTTATGTCTGTGAATTTAGCTACTGTCATTTATTCAATAAAAATTATTAAAACAAATGATGGGTTTGCAGAAAGCACAATCTCTAGTCTTTCTGTCCTATCTACAATATTTGAAATTAAATAAATGTGTACTATAGCTATTCCTACTTTTATTGGTAATAAAAATTATCTTTTTATAACATAATGGTCAGAAGAGGTAGCAAGTTCTACATGCCTTCCTGCTTGTTCTACTTTGGAGTTCTTTTCCCAAGAACATATATTCTTGTTATAAGCAATCAACCAAAGTATATTGTTTTTGGAAGAATAATGATATTACACTGGTAGATACCAAATTAGATACAATTCTTTTAAGCTGTTATTTTGCTTTTGAAACAGTATTAAAATTGCTTAGATAAGTATATTGGGCATTTACCTGAGGCATTTCCAGGCCCAGATCCTCCAAATTCAACTCCAACTTTTTTGTTTTCCTTGCTTGCAAATTCTGTTCCAGGTTTTTTTCTGGGTTAGTAGGCAGCATATAACTCATACAAGGTGAATTGCAGATTTTTTGCTAGGAAAATGTTTACTTTGATTACTTGGAATATTTTTTTCCTCTGGGGAATTTGTGCCTGAAATGAAAAGAAACCCATTAAGTGATTTTACATTAAATACATGCTTAGTATCTTAGTCCTCATTTTTTGCTGCAATTATTTTTACATGCATCTCCTCTACATTCTCTTTCACACATTTTCTCTTTTTCTCTATTGTCATATTTGAGTTATGTTTGGAAACAAAGAAATGGTCTGTGCAGCTGTTTTAAGATGTTTCCTTCATCTAGTCTGCTCTAAAACACAATTTTGTATTCAGAACATTTGCAATGACTGTTTCTCAATTGTTTTCGATGTAAACTGAACAATGTCACCAGGATGTGGAATTGGTCCAGGAATCCTCATTTCAATATTCTAATGAGTATCAAAGCACAACCTGAACATGGAACTGCTTCAGCCTAATGTTAATATTCAGATGAATTATTTTAACATGGGCCAAATGCTTGTGCTTCTATAGTAATTGGTACTTTCTATGCTATATCACAAAGTAGATGGCCCTATGGATTCAGAAGAATTCATATTCATACACAAGAGAAGCTGCCTCTTATGACTTTATAGAGGCAACTATTTTGCTGATGATTGGCTATGAAAGAGAATATTTTAGTCCTACTTGTATAGTTGTTCCTAATATAATAGAATTACTTTCGGGCACATATCCTAAATCAAAAGCATACCCATATCTTTTTATAATGCGGAAAGCTATTTTTTCAAATGTAAGAAAACTTATACTTCCAAATGGATTCAAATAAAATATGAAAATGATCTTAAAATGCATATCAAGTTTCCAAAGTCTGAATAGTTTCCATCCCAGTCTGTATTTGATTATGCAGAAATAGGTGATTTAACTACTGCTGCTATTATTTAATGTTTTATTACTCCTGATTTCAACTTCATTTGTCAAAGTTTTTAATGTCCCATGCTATGATTATGGTATTTTTGTGAAGCCTTTATTGTTCTACTACTGCTTATTATTGAAAAAAAAAATCATGGTCTAAAATCCCTTAAAATAAGCACACAAAAATTAATCATATTAAAGCAGGGTGACTACTTTACATGCTAGGAACAATTTTACATAACAATTCAGTGAAAAATTAGCAGGTTAAGATATACCTGAATAAGGAAACAAAACAAATCCTAATAATTCTTATTTCTTTTTTAAAAAAATATCCTATACAAAAGATCGGACTTTTTTAAAGAATTAAACTTTCTCAGAATTTCCATGTAAAGTAGCTGCATTTTGATAAACTGATGCTTAAGATTTGGGCAGACTGTTGCAAGGTATCAACTAAGCTAAGCACATTCAGTGTACTAAACATAGCAGATAACATTAGCAAAATAACTTACACAGCGCTGTGTCACTTTCTACTAAGTTACAGAAATGACATTGTTCATTGTTTCTCTTTGCAAGTGTAATCAAATATTGTGTTTAAACTTAAGGATACTGCAGATCAGCTTCAAATTTTATATGAATGTGTTGGAATAATTAAATTTGGTTCCATTGTAATAATAAACAAAACAAAACAAGGATGTGTAAAATAGTCGCCTCTAGCACAAAAGTTCAAAGGTGTTCACCCTTCTCCTATCTGCCTTTTTTAGAGTCCAGATTTTGCAGCCACAAGTAGTAATTGGAAAAATAATTGCGTTGACTAATCTGCATTTGGTTGTGAGACTGATGTCTTTAGTCTTTCAGTAGTTATTCATGCCAGACATTGCAGTTCTTCCAATTGCTACATGCCTTCTGATCTCAGGGCTGCAGACACCAGTTTGGTCGATTTTAGAGCCCAGGAAGATGAATTTCTTTACCTTTTTGATGGTCTCACTAATCTGCATTCTGACCTGCATGTTCTCTGCAGTTGTCATTAACTTTGTTTTCTTGATGTTAAGGTGCAGTCTAAATTTTTCACTTTCATCTTTGATTCTCAGGATTAGCCACTCCAGATCGTCCTTGCTTTCCGCGAGCAATGTTGTATCATCTGATATTGGAGGTTGTTGATATTCATATCATTGATTTCAACCCCAATGGTAGATTCTCTGAATGTGCATTTCTCATAACTATTGGTGTGTACATATTGAATAAGATAGATGACAAGATTCAACCTTGTCAAGTGCCTTTTCCAATTCTGAATCATTTTGTGTCCTCATATTCCATTTCTACAGCAGCTTCCTGATCAGAGTACAATGACTGGGGCTGAATGTGGTGTGATATTCCAGTTGAGGCAGTTCCAAAGCTTATCATGGTTAACACAGTCGAAGGCTTTTGTGTAATCAATGAATACTGCATCTGTCTGCAACTCTGTATTTCTTCTTGGGACTGTGCAGTTGGTTTAAAGATGCAGACCTTTAAAAAACAGAGAGGTCCTGTGTTCATAGTTCCCAATCCCCCAGTTTCATCACTTAGAGGAGGATAAAGGCTCCTGAGCAATACTGCATGCATTGCTTGTAATGTAAAAAAAGAGAGCAACATCTGAATTTTGTGTTATTGGGAAAAATGAAAGATATAGGTCACCTTAATGTTCATTCACAGTAATTATTGCAAGGAAAAACAACTAATTGTAGCACAGATTTAAGTCAAGTACAGTCCATCACTCTTTGTTCTGACTGCTCAAATCATCCTGCTTGAATCCTTTAAACTGCTTCAGACAGCATCCTCAGCCATCTAATTTTTCAGTTTGCTTTCTATTTCTGCCTTCAATGGAAAGCAACAATTGCAAACCACACCTAGATAATTTAGATTTGGAAAATGTTCTTTTTCTTTTTGAAAGTTTAAAGGGCTATAACAATTCTTGGCTGAAAACAATAAGGTTTTTAAAAAAAGAATAAGAGGGAAGTTTTCATTTTTCTAGTTCCGGAGTTCTTGCTTCCTTGATTTTTAAAAACTTACTTCCAGAATGTGGCCTTTCATACTCGAGTACAGTATTTATAGAAAGATTCTTCCTGTGTACAGAACACAACACAAAGCAGACTTCAAATGCACACACACAAAATAATGCTCTCTGTTAATAGCTTAGATAAACAACTTTGGCATTCATGACAATTATGCCAGATTACAAAAAGTATGCATTATGCTATGTATCCTTATGCACAATAAATCTTTTATTACAGAATGATAACATTGATTCTGCTTGTGCATAATACTACTGTTGATCAATTATAACTGACAATGAAAATTTCATTTTTATGCCTTTCTTTCTCAACTTGTGGAGGGTCTCCACATTATGACATTGTTCTAGCTGCAGTGGCACAAAAATCCCTACAATCTCCTCAATCAATACATCCAGTGAACAAACACGACAGGAATTGTATCAAATACATCTAAAAGTCACCTAGATAAATTCCATGTTTAAGCAGAAATATTCCAATTTTTAAAAAACCCTTCTTAACTAAACTGAGAATTTATTGATAAGTAGCAGCCTGGAAAACACAAGTGCGGTGTTGCTGATAGATATGAAAATACTCTGAAAACACAGTAGCAATAAAACTGTGTAGAAAGACTAATCATGAATGTACCCTTGTTCTAAGAAAAAAGCACTAGCCATTTGCTCTGAAATAGTTGGAAGTTGGGATAGAAAGCAAAATAGAAACATGATCTGAAAATGAAAGGCTGATATAGACTTCTTTAAACAAAAACCTTGGACTTTTGTGTTACTGACTTTACTGACTTATCTACATCTGCAGGCTTCTTAAGACATACCTAAGAAATTTAGCATCCATCAACTTAAGGGATCCAATCTTTACAGAGAAATATTTAAAGGAATTTTTCCCTAACCCAAGTAACTCAACCTACTCTGTAAATTGTATCCTGCTGTATCCAATATTCAATTTTTTAAGAAAAGCTCCAGTGCTACTGACATGGACATGTCAATGTAGTTTGTTTGATGATTTATTTGCCAATGCAATCATCTGGTAATTTTCTATTTATTTTCTAGTTGAGCCTTCGGGTCTGAGATTTCTGGTAACTTATCATGTACTAACCACACCTAGCCTACCAGCTTTTTTGCAAAATCAACTCACTGCTTTATGATCAGTAGCTTTGAGGATAGAGTATTAGAGGATAGATCACAGTATTCCCCTTTCAGCTTTATGTAATTGACAATTCTGAATGTTTCTTGGCTTTGGAAAGTTCCCTGAGTTTAGTTATCTGTACTCTAGTTATTTCTCAACTTGTTTTATCACCCCATCCTTCTAATAAATCAAAATACAAATAGAAGAAAAGTTAGAGCAAGCTTAACGTAAAACTCAGTACCGGCATTAATGTGGCTAAATGATGGCATTTTGGAAGTTATACTGCTTTATTGAATTTGCATACCAACATACGTTTTTGGAGTAATTTGAAATAAAATTACAAGTTGCAACATTTATAATTTAATATAAAGGTCATTTATGGTAGTCTATTAAATATACAATGAATTGAAGATCTCTGGACATTGTTCTTATGACTTTTATAATTCATATCAATAACGAGGGATGTTTGAAACTGTAATTTCAATGCAATGTCTAAAAGATCACTTTGCCCAATCTACATGACCATGCCAGAATAGTTCAAATTTTTCTTTTTTCCCCTCCAAGCAAAGTAATGCAAATGCTTTAATTGATAAAGAATCAGATGACGCCCAAGTATTCCTGCATACAACACCGCTGACAGAAGCACAAATATTTTGTATTATATGAAGCATTTGGGGTTCTATGATACATAAATGATAGGTCTTCTGAAGACAGATAGAACTGTCTTCAATTGCTACTGAACAATTATCTTATAATAATTCGTACAATACCAATTGCAATTTACATAACTCTCAGCATAGGATAGCTGTGATTTTTTCCTAAAACTAATACAAAGGTTTAGATTATTTACTATTCTAAGTGCATCACAATTCCCAGAGAAACACAGCAATCTCTTCACTACAGTATAGTGAAAACTATAGCAATTTTATAAGAAAATCAAGTCAATTCTGAGAAAAATTTACATTAAGTGTGATACAAATTTACTTTCAAAATATAATACTTGTGATATGGGATTTCTTTTGGGTTGTAATGTCAATGCTCAGAGTTGTTTTCTTTTCTTCACAGGAATTTTAAAACTTTAACTGCCTTAGCTTCTCCAGTGTAAACACTGTTTAATACATGGGGCACAATTTTTGTGGGAAAGGGGAAAGAGAACTAAGTGCATGTATGGAACACTCATCACAGGTATTGTTAAGTTAAAAGCTGAATGACATAGGTGTGTCAATATTCCACTACTGAAAAGCCTGACTGGTATGTAAGGCAAGACCCAGATTTCTCCTCAGAATAAGTAACTATATTGTAGGTACTTGTGCTTAGCTCTGGAGAGCTAGCTGCTGCAAAATTAAATAGACAGACTCTGTCATAAAATACATGGAAAGTAACATCATTTAATTATATTGCAATTTTATTTGCCTTTATCAATGCCTTGGTCCTGTTCAGTTTTTGAAGTGCTGCCCTAAGCACACTACTTAAAAACAAGTTGTAATCTTTGGGCCCCAGAGTTTGTGCATCCCTGAAATAAAATGAAAAGTCGAGGGAAAATATTTTAAAAAGAAAAATCAAAGTAAAAGTACATATTTTTCAATTCATAACACAAATTATTAAAGCAGCTTGCAATTTACAGTGCAAATATTTTGTTTTATTCTATTCCTGCTTGACAGCCCTATACAGCAATTAAAATAAAAGGGTGCTCATGTAATTTTTATCCTCAGCAAATAACAATTCTTGTATCAGTTCTTAATTTTCAATTCTAAATTACAATACTTGAGATCTTTCATCTAAGAAACAATGAATAAACTGATTTTTCATAAACTGATTCTCCCTAGTTGCATCATAGACTTCTGTTTCCAAGCTCAGGATAAGTTTGTTATAGGCATAAAAGATATCCAAAAGAGATTATTTTGTCATGAAAAACTGCCTAGTACAGCCTCACAATACAAACGTAACATGGTTCTTCAAAAATACTGATTTTTTCATGATCAGCACTCTAGAAGGGTTTTTCTGCTTTCAAAAGTAATTGTTAATATAACTAGCTTAATCTCTGATTCATCAAATCTCATGTAGCCTGCTTATGTTTGAAGCTGAAGATTGCACCTCAAGTCTCAAGCCTTTGAAAGGTCAGAACACATAATTGCCTGCATTAATGGATCACAATTGGCTTAAATGAGCCAAGAAAACATACAAATTTGATGTAGCAGTTGGGCAGTTACTAACCTTATAATAAATTAAAGTTTTAGGAGAAACTTCCTAACAGTGAGGACAATTAATCAGTGGAATAGCTTGCCTTCAGAAGTTGTGGGTGCTCCATCACTGGAGATTTTTAAGAAGAGACTAGAGTCTAGACAGTCACTTATCTGAAATAGTATAGGTTTTTTTGCTTGAACAAGGACCTGGACTAGAAGACCTCCAAGGTCCCTTCCAGTTCTATCCTATCCTATCCCTGCAATGAGTACTATAGTACATTCTTTTGTTACTAATATTTTAAATAGCTTTTTTAAAAAAAAGTTAGAAATTTAAATTGGAAAAATACCAACACTACATAAATGTGTATTTTTGGAAACTGTCAATGCTTAATTGAACATACAAGAAGGAAAAGTGGGGACAAATTAAGCAAAATCAGTCAGTAAGGTTTCATAGTGCAAAGGAAGAGTTTGGTTTTCATGTCTTGTTTTGGATTTAGAAACTGTATACCATATGCAACAATCATTGTCTATTTTGTAAAGTTGACAATAAAAAATATCAATGCAATTAAAAATTGATTAGTTTTGAATAATTTCTCTGATTTTGCACTACAAATATAAAACATAATTTAGACTTCACTAAATGAAAGTTTATAAATTGAGGACTACTGTATACAGTACTGTATTTGTTTCAATTATTTAGTGGTGGAAATGTTTTGATTGTATTAGTTTAAAATTTACAAAAGAAATTGGATAATGGAAGTATAGCCCTGTTAATTCTTCTGGATGCTTAGGGGTTTTTGTATTACAGTATTAGTTAAGATATCTATCTTGATCACCTAGCAAAGGCTGATGTTCAGAAGCTATACAACAGTAACTGTTTCAGTCCTATTGAAGAAAGTTTGGCATACTAGAAAATTGTTTGATACCATATCCTTTGACAGGCTACAGGTTCTATTTTGTCCCAATTATTATTTAAGATCTGAGCCTGTTAGATAAATAATTGGGAACTGTAGAATGAGATGGCACCAATGTATCGATGATACTGGATTGGATACCTTAAAGTTCAGTTTATACGTTTCAACCTTTTCTATACTCGCCTGACCATTATCCCATCCGTAGTAACATCATATTTAGAAGTTTGCAATACGTTATATAACTTTACCATTTAAAGAGTCCCTGGAAACTTCAATTAATACAAAATGCAGCTGGATTTATATTACTGAGATTATAATCCAATAATGGGAAATTATTTGGTAATTATTTTCTAGCTCAATTCAAGATTTAAATCTTTAAAAGCTGAATAGTGTAGGGCCTGAATAAGAGCATGCTTGTTTTAGGATGAATGTGTCCGATTTAAATCTATAGCAAAACCATCACCTTTAAAAAAAATAAATTTCACATGCTGCAATCAAAACACAATATCAAGCAGTTAAAATGCAATTAAACCAATCTATTGTTTATCTAAAATAGTTATATTTTTTCCATTCAAAATTCCACAACTAGGTCCTGCTTGCAAAGAGATCCAACTACCCCAAGTATCCCTTAACCCATCTTCAGTGACCAGCTGAACAAAATGTCCTGTAATGAAGGACACCCATTCAAAGGGCTTCCTGCATTTACTTTAATCCTCACCGTCACTTCTCAAAGATGGACAGTCTGCTATTTCTCAGCTAGTCATTTCTATCATCTACCTGGTAATAGATAGAAATCTGGCATTGTATTTAAGTGCACCCATTAACCCAGGGAAGGAAGTTATACACACAGCACAAAACAAAAGCATGTCCTGCCTACTTTTTATTTAGTCTTCTTGCATTTTGGTGGTAATGTTGGAGCTTACAACTTTTTCCTCTTTGCTATGAAAAAGGTGCCCAGCTTACTGCCTCCCAGTTCTACAAAACTATATGCCCATAGAGAGTTGTTTCTCAGCGGTAGCTTTTTTCTTATTACCCCTCAATTCTAATTGTATGATTTTTTAAAAATATTCCGGTGCTCGAAACTCGCCAATTCATATCACTAAGCTGAACCACTAACACACCTCCCATCCAATATGGCCGCTCCACCAAACAGGACCGAAACACACTCTAACTAATTGTCGCTTCGCTCCGCCCTAGCTGTAATCCTATTGGCCTGGTCTGTTCCAATCTCTGCCGCCATTGGCCGTGCCCGGCGTCGTTCTTTCTGACTAGCTGCCTCTCTCAAGTTAGAATGACGCGACATGTAAACAAATCACTTTCTGGATGTTCCAAACTAATCGGAACTCCGCCGGCCCACGCCAGCCCCCGAAGGCAACGAGGGGAATAGATCTGGGCAGACCTCTGCACCCCATCGTGGAAGTTAGGAAAAAAAAAATTGTGTGCTGCAAAGTGTTTTTTTTTTTTAAAAAAAAGAGGGAGAATAAGATACCTGTAGCCTATCAATGCGGGATGGGTGGGGTTTCTTCTTATTTTATTACAAACATCCGTATGCTGCCTAGGAGCATCTGAGAGAAGAGGGGTCCGCACTAAAGATGGATAGCGAGGGTGAATCTCAGATGCCTCCCTTTCCCTCCTTAGGGCTACAACTGAACGTTGCCAACTCCTAGAATTGCAATGCATACAAGGACTCCTCACACGCCCCATCCAGTCACATTCAGCATTGCAAAACCGAAAGGTTTTCTCCTTTCCCATCAATGTCTGCTCTGTGTGAAGCACTTTTGGGGAGTGGGGGAATCCCATCGCCGATTACTTTCTCCACTCGCCGGGATTACTGCCCAACGTGACAACTACGAGGGTCGAGCCAGATAACCTTGTTTCGCTTCCTTCCCCTGCAGATTAAGCGGGAAATAATATTGGGGTGGGAACACCGGGTCGACCTGTGCAAGCCTTAGGTTGTGAACGCGATTTGAAACCCATGAGAGTCTTCCAACACTTGGCTCTCTCACCATTTCGTCAGCTTCTACTCAAGTGTTTACAGATTTTTCTCATTAACAATAAACAAACCAAAAAACCGAGAGCATATTTTTGTGGGTACACCTAAAGCAGGCAAACTCTTCTGAAATGGAAAATGTTGAATCGAACCCAACCGAATGGACCTCGCAAGACTGGAGCGTGCTCTTTATAATAGGTGAAAGAGTTTTCCTTCAAATGCCCAACTAGTACAGGAACCATGCAGAAGTCTGCACAAAAACAAAATAGCTAGGTCTCTTCCTCACCCATCCCCGTCTCTCCTTCCTACGGTTATATTACGAGTTAAATCAGGGTGTTTTTTTTTGGGGGGGGGGGAGAAGGTTAAATTAAAATAAAAAGTTCCTTACAAAAATGAAGCACTAAATTCATTCCGACTCAAATTGCCGATGTCTGAAGAAACGCCTAGCCTAAAAGTCCCTTCCTCCAGGTTACACGGAAAAGGAGACTAAAAGAAACCTCCGGGCTCCTCTGCAGTCTGAGGAGAAAGGCAAGCAAGCACACGCCCCCTTCCATGTCCCTTTCCACCCAGGGAGAGCGCTCGAAGAACGCGGGGCTTGCTCTCTCTCCCCACCCTACGTGACACTTCTAGGATTGAAAAAAACCCTTTTATCTTAACTTTAAAAGCAACGCGGCCCCCATTTGCCTAAAAACTCTCCCTTCCACCGATAGTTCTCAATGCGGTGACTCCGGATCGCCTTTTCCCCAAGCCACGCTGCGGAAGGAGAGCGCCTTTCGCCGCCTGCACGAAAACGACCTCGACCAGCAGCCTCCATCCTAAATCCCCCTTTCTCCCTCTTCCTCCCGCTGCCCCAGGCAGCAAGGACCATCGGCGCCTCCCTCCCGCCAGAGCCGCCGCATCCTTCCGCCCGCCGAAAGGGCTTCCCGGCTCCTGCAAGAACCTGCTGGGACCGTCGCTCTGCCCGTCCTCGACCCCCCCCTCCCGCAGCCACTCTCTTCCGCCCCCCCTCGGGGCCACGGAGCCCCCCAAACTTCTCCCTCCCTCCCCCTCCCCACCTCCTTCTCGGCCGGCGCTTCAACGGCTTCCCGTCTCCCTTGGTGGCTCCTCACCTGGGGCCCCGACCCAGCGGGGGTATAGAGGATGTTTCACTTCTGGTCCTAGCATTTGCTGGGGCTACAGCTCTGGCCCGGCCCCTCCATGCCGCTCTGGGGTTTGTTTTGTTTATGTCCCTTCCTGACGGATTCCCGGAAATCGCGTGACTCGCCCCCATCACGTGGCCTTTAAAAAACGGGGAGGGAGGGGGGGAAGGGCGAGCACGGCCAAGTCGAGGCAGAAAGCAAGGCGCCGAGGCCTCCAATCAGAAAGCGCGCGGTCGAGGACCAATCAGCGGCCGCAGAACGGTGGGTCTCCCCTCTCATGTGACGGAGCGAAGGGCGAGGGCGGGCAGAAGGGAAGGTTTCTCGCTCAGCTGATTGGGACGGCGGCGGGAATTCAACGGGGGAGGTGGAAGAGGGGGGAGGAGAGGTAAGCAGAGCTTCTAATTGCAAAGGAGTTGCATTGGCCGTTCGTTCCATGGGGGCGTGAACCAAAGGGCCCGGTTTTAATCGATCCTAGCTGATTTCCAGGGATCTTTAAATTGTCTCCAGTCTTGCCAGACTCTTGCAGGAGGAGGAGAGCTGCAATCCCGACACCTCTGTTGCGGGGGCCCACCGAGTCCATCGTGCAACCTTACTTAATTCAGAATGAATTAGGATGAGGTGTCATCCTAGAAATTGACACTAAACCTTTAAAATAGAGAGATGCAGAAGGATGCATAGTCCCGCTACTTTGCAGGTGTTTGGTGAGGATCAGGATGATAGTCCTCGGGGCCTGCTTCTTGTGCAAGTATCTTATCTTCAACTGCACAAATACCGGCTGCAGGATTGAGGGGCTGAAATGTCTAGCCTATGGGATCTGAACTACTGAAAGCAAATTACTGCTCATTGGTTGCAAAATTGTTTAATTCTAATTTTTAAAAAAATCTACAAATAAGATTCCAAGGAGGCATTTTCTTCTCCAAATGATTCTCTAAATCCTATCTAAGACGGGATTGAGTCATTTGTATTTGATTAAAGTTGCTGTATTCAAATACA